GAACAATCATTCTTGACAAATATGTATCGAGATACAGAATTATTACATCTACTGCAAATTTAAAAATGTACAATCGCTGTTTACTATAATAAAATAAACCTTCGATATCGTGATTCAATTAGGTTCATTGTTTAAAGACACGATAATTAGTTTCGAATTTAGTATCTATATAATCGATCCTGTATACAGAGAGTAGTTGCAGCAATGAAGTGTAATTTCAGAAATAGAAAATAAATAGTATACCTTTTTTTATATCTTTTTACAGCCATAATGTAGAACAGAAACAAAAATTAATTTTTTATTTAAAACAAAAGTGTCAAATCAATATTCCATCTCTTTTGGCGATAAATATGTTTTCTAATTACGTTTACGCGCGGTTATTTAAACGCAACGAATGATATTCTTGCATCTAATTATTCTCAACGTTCAGCTGGTTCTACACATCCGAGAAAACATTGTCGAATGTAATTTTACATTCTCATGCGAGTGCATGCAAGTGCGATCACGAACACCTATTCGTTAAAATTCAGGACTTAATTATTTCTTTAAAGGCATCGAATTGCCGATCGTAATCCGACAGAACGAAGTGAGCGATTAAATTGTTCTGGCGTAAAAACAAGGGTTCCATGAATCTCGTAACCCCGTCTTTCAAATTAAAATACGGCAATTTGTAAGCGTGTAATTATCGGTGTTATCGTTGTTTGATTTTAATTGACTTCTAAAGATGATCTGTAAAAATAAAAGTAGCTGTTTAGGCGACCTTCGCGCGGTGAGCCTTTTCTCCGTGGAATAATAATGAGCGAATTTCCTTAATGCATTTGCGTTCACGTCTAGCGCGTCGAGCTATCCGTGCTCTAATTTGCATTAACCGTTGCCTCGGATGCCCGTTAGTAAATCATTAATTTCAATGTCGACTGTGAAACGGTTTCGCCGGAAAATGGAACGTTGCGTTCAACGATGCGAATTTTACGTGGGCTCGTTAATTTGCGCGAAATGAACGCATGGATTAAACGATGTGATCGAGGTATGTAATTGGATCTTGTAATCATTCGTGTTTTTTTCCTTTTTTTTTCTCTTCTCCTTTTTTCAAACATCACGTTTGTTATTTATTACAGCAAGCTGGACGTTTTATCGACATTAGGTACAATGTTCATTATATGTACTATGTATCATGTTCAGGTATACATTACGTAAGATGTATTATATTTGACGATGCGGAATCCTCATTATGGATTTTAATATTAATAAATCTTGTTATTAGGCAGTAAATTCAACTGAAATTTTTAAGCTTTGTAGCGCTGCATTTAAGGATTATCGATAGGATTTGCTGCTGGAGAAGCGTATTTAAAATCACACGATCGTGTTTTATATTATCGTGATTGATTGATTACAATTTTGTGCATCAAAGGGATGATAATTATGCGGTAAGCTACGTAAATGCACGTAATTTATATCTGACCATAATTGAGACTTCAAGTTGCTTACTAGACACTTATAGTTTCAAAGTCACTCCATGGAGATGATGACGTAATATTGAGCTCATTCCGCTAGAAATTTACATTCGATTTCGGGTCGCAGGAATTTATATGAGTCATACATTTCTGAAACAAAATCGCAAGTGATGTATCAATTAAATAGAATAAATTGTTTTTATTGTTTATTTAATTCTTAATGCGTAAATGGCAATACATTCGAGTTGCAAAACGCAGAAACACTATTTAATTATTCATATTTTTGTAGATAATATCAAAACAATATAAATTTTGCTACGATCACCGCATCATATATTTTCTATTTTTATTTTATTATTTATTTTAAAGCTTTTTTACTTTTAAATGGACATAGATTGGACAAAATTAAAGTCTTTTCTTAGAAAACTGGAAAGCTTGTTACAACTTGCTTTCAGTTTCACGCAAATTCCACACTCCTGACAGAGTTAACGAACGAAGATCACAGGAGAGAAACATGATAAGTATATCTACATGAATAATCTAATTTTAATTTTACTTTATGTTACAAGGATGATTTTAATATCACGTAAATGAAAATGCAAGTGTAATGATTAAAAAAACAATAACATTATTTTCATGCTATGACAAACAATTCTTTTAGAATTTTAAAAAGCACATAAAATACATGTTCGTTAAAATGCATATTGCAGAGCAAAGAAGAAAGATAACTTTTGTGAGATAAGATAGACAACGCATCGAATATTAAAATTCCTCTATGAAAAATAGGAAGTTTCTTATAATGTACTCTTTTTGTGTGGTTCAAACGCGAATAATTTACAAGATATCACAAAATCATTATGATACGCGATAACGATATTTATATTTACATAAAATTTAAACTAACATAGAACAATATAACGGAACCACAATAGCCATACCACGACCCATAAAAAATATTTCGTAAACGAGCAGAACAATATCATCACTCAGGTCATACAATAATATGCACTGGCATACAGCAGTATGACATTAACCGGTCAACAATATCTTAATGCACGGAAGCACGATAGCTTATCGAGCGAAAGAACTGCAACGAGGCGAACGAACAAGATACAAACGGAAACTTTTCATACATCGCGTTTCGTCGTTGAGATTCGTTTTCTCTGGCGACCGTGAGCTCGCGCATAGTCCATAAATTGCAAATTTCTCTGTACTTTCACATCAACTGCCTAGTTTCGCCTATACGAGACCGCAATTTCAGGGTCAAAGGACATCACTGTGACCTTGATTCTTGAGGCCATCTCGGTCACGAGAGTTTGTTTATAATGGAAAGTATATTAATAGAATTGATATAGTAATCGTGTGACCGCTTTACGGAATCAACTCTTGGTATCTGAATGCGAGAACGACCGATTTGTGATTAATTGTTACGTACACTTTCTAATTAAGAGTAATTATATTAAGAATTTAATGAAAAGCTAAACTTGTTGTGATTCGTTCAATTTTTATACTTCAATTTTGTTCTTTATTTTAACAAACGTGGAAGACTTTTGATATTTTAGAGAATTCTTCAGCATAGAAACGAGAACTTATATTCTATACGTATATCAATATCAAAATTCTTTCATATCGTTAATTTATTAATTTTTTTAAGTAGAGTCTTTAGCGCGATTGATAGGATGCATTTCTTTATGAAATCGTTTGGGAAATTGTTTCATGAAATATCAAACTTTAAAGGATTATAAGATGTACACTGTGCCCTATTGTTCGAACGTATCAGAAGACTTGCTTACTTTTGAATTGCAATTAAATTGGATAAATCCTGTATACGAAGGATTAATAAAACAGAGAGTTTCTTTTCAACGATTTTGTTTCTCCTCGTGATCCTTTCTTGCCTCTGTTCCGTGCTCTATGAATTTTATATTGTAAGACGCTTCCGCGAGGAAACCAGGCCAAATCTTACACGATTTATCGTCCCATGCTTTTATAAATTATCAATCTTTTTATACTTACTGCCTATTTAGTCTTCCTCGTTACGGAGGGCAATTAAGTTACCAAAGAAACACCAGTCGTATATTCTTTCTTGTCTCTATAAACGATACGGTTTTTTATTATGTTTTAATTGGTTCATGTTAAGCTGATTATCTTCTCCTTTACGTTCTTCAATTTTCGCTCTTTCTTCAAGCCTTTGAACCCTTCTTTCATACCCTTGATGTATCGTCGACACGAGAAACTCGTAATGAAGCAAACAGTTAACATTGACCCAGATCATCGTGCTTTTTTGTTTCTCCCCGTAATGCTTTGCACATGATTAATCGACGGGGCAGTAGTATATCGTTTATCGCGTTAAAGTTCAGAAAAGGTAACTTCTTTCACGTGCTATGTAGCTTGGAAGTTTGTTCGCAGGAGGATTGCATCAGGTGTACGCTTATAGTGACGGGGCACATTTTGCAACCTCCTGTCGAGTCTTCTTCAGTCGAGCAAAAAGTCAATAGCGTCGACGTATTATGTCTATATTCTTATTTACGAAGCGATTTTTACAGATAGCGGGAAAAATAGTCGGCCACGTCTCATGCCGTGAAATTATTGTTCATCGATGACATTTATTTTAGACCATCGCAGTTTTTGTCAGAGCTAATCCACCGGTAGAATTTGCAAAACTATACTAAAGCTCGATCGAAGATATTAGGCACATCGGTAAAGTAACTGAAGCTGTCAAAATAGAATTCTCAACTGTTTATGTCTTTAATCCTTTGAGTACTTGGTCCATACAAGCAACATGAAAGATGTACGAGCGTTTAATGCTTGCAATGGCGAGCATAGAAATAGCAACATTCTGTTTTAGTAACTCGTGTGAATGAATGTTTATTTTTGAATGAATGTTTGTTTTATTTTTACATTAATATTATTATGTCAAGAAAAAGAGGGAGAATGAAATATTTGCAATATTCTAACAGATATTTGAAGAAATATATATATATATCATTTATTTATAATGGTGCTATAGTATAATATACTTTTTAAGTATGTGTTACCTATATCTAAATTAATTTTATTATGTCGTGGATACACATAAAAGAGTAGATGAAAACAAAATCATCGAAGAAACGAGATATTATATAAACAATAATGTAGACGTATACACAATTAATTTTGTACTGTATCATGAAAGAAGTAATTACTTTCATGATATATTTACAAAAAGTTCAAATCATTGGAATAATTCTTTTTTCTACCACATATTATTATTTTAATAAGCACGGGAAGGGTTAATAAACATATATATAATATGTAGATATGTTGTAAACATTAGTATATCTTTGAATGCATCAACTCAAAATTGTCGCTTATTTGATATCGAAGATTTGAAGTATACACAGCTTGATGTCGTTCAGTTAGCAAAATTGAAATTTTCAAGTTGTATTCTTTTGAAAGAAATATCTCTAACTTTACGACCATTACAGCTAACTTCGTCGTAAACCATACTATATAATATAATTATCAGAATTGAAATCTCCGCGTCCTTTTTAATGAATTATCTTTTCTCTGTTTTTCCTTTTTTTTTTCTTTTTTTAACACTGGTATTCGGTATGAGCGTGTCATTGAACCTAATTGCAATACTAGCGAAACTTGGTATATTTCTTCCGAAAGATCACAGTTGATACTCGAAAGCCAGAACTTTAACAATCAAGTTTTTTCCACTATTGATTCGGACGAACAGAATTTATAACTACTACGTGCCTCTTAAATTTATCTACGTTTCAACATTATAAGACTTCAAGGCCATTTGAACGTCTCATCGCAAGACGCTTCATCTTCCAAGCTCAAGGGACAGTATTCATCAGCAGTGACCCTGTCCAAATCCCCTATATCCGCTCTAGGTTTGAACGGTAGCTCGGAAACCAAAATACCTTCTAGTGGTTCTTTTTCATCCGCGTCCTCCTCGAACTCCCAAAAATCATCATTGGAAACGTGATTGCCGATGACCGACTTAAAATCCTTTTCACTGAACGTGATCGTCTTCACGTTTCGTCTTTTGGGTAATTGCTTCTCGCGTAAAATGTCCCTAGACATGGCCAGCTTCCTGTCGTATTTGATTCTCTTAACCGTGCTCTTAGACACTCGGGAGACTGATCGATGACGATCGTCGTTCTCGCGACGTTCGAGGTCACGGTCGTCGTGATTAATAGGTTGTCGAGAATCCTGTTCATTCTCGGTCGACTTCCTTCTTTCCAGCTCCGATTCCGCGACAGTTCCCAGGAATGCATTTTTATCGGTAGATCCCCCTGCGGCGGCCTCGTTTTCACTGGTGCCACCTGTCACCTGTGGCTCCCCATTCGTTTCCACAGAATCATTTTCTGCAGCTTCGACCGCACGCGCAATCGTTTCGACAGCTTCGAGAATCTCCCGCGATGGCTCCACAGTCGGATCGGGGTGTGGCGTGGTAACCGCGGAATTGGTCTTATCGACCGAGTCAGCTTGTACGTCGGACCTCATTCGCGGATTCTTTCGATACTCTTCCTCCAAGTAGCTCCGGAACTGGTCTCTGAAGTAACTGTCGATCATTTTCCACACGCTGGTGCTGTACCAGGTGAGTATACCAATGAGAAACACGCCGCGAAAGATCAATCCCAGCATGATCACACCCGAGTGTTATTTATTGCTAAATATTGCTCGTGGTAAATCAAACGAATAATAAGAATGCGCATAATTTAACGATTGATATTTTGCTTATTAAAATTTATGAAGGGTCTGTGATAAAATGTCCATGATTATGGTCTACTGTAATGTAAGCGATGGAATACTTTTAGGAAGTTTGAGTAAGAGTCCCTTATGACCTAGAGAATCGATACATAGATACTTGATACTGTGGTACAAACAAGGTAAAATAAATATTTCTGTAGCTCTTTGATGTTGAATCATGTTACGTGTTACGTTAATGCGAGCGTACGTCTAGAGTTCATGTTCAGAAAGCAAAGGATAATTTGCAGCGTGTAGTTATAAACGCTGAATTACTCCAAGAAAATGCGTTAGATATATCGATCGTAGTATTGTTAACTTCTCTCTACTATATCAAACTTCGTCCAAGATTTTTTCTCAAATTTTGTGAATAGTTTCGCTCAAAAGTTTCCGCTTATTCCGTTTCGCCGAAATAGTATTCCTTTAGAATACTCATAGCTTCCTGCATTTTTGGAAATCCCATCGTGACAAAAACTAATATCGAATTGGCGATTACGAACAGTCGCATCATTTCGAGACCACTGTTAGATCTTAACCATTCGCTAAATCCTTGATTATCCACGTCCTTTTCAACATCGTTTTTCTCATTTTTCTTGTCTTCCGGGCCGTTCATTTCGTTCTGCCGTCCTTTTCCGCCTTTGTTTTCATAATTGCCACGTTTTTTCATCGCTTCTATGTGGATTGCATCTGAAACTTATAAAATTCCTATTTTTAACAATTGCAGACAAAAATTAGATAGATACACGCTTCCGCTTTTGAAATAGCATTCTATTTTTATCGTACTGTAAATTATTCTTGTTGATTCAAGTTTCACGAGAAATATCACATGGAACACTAATTTTGGACATCACTTTTCTGGAGTACAGTTCCTGCGTATCTATAGTAAGCGCGCCTAAAATACATTGCTTTAGAAGCCGAGGGGTTCACAGTAAAAATGGAATTGTAATGTTTTTAGTTCACTGTTGTACTCATTCATGTGCTCACTTGGTCTTATTGTATCGACAACTAGGACAGTAAGTTTAACATTTTTAGTGTCTTCATAATTTTCCTTTCTATCGTTTTTGTTCCAAATTGGAATGAAACATTGACGCAATAAAAAAGCAGTAGTCGATTCAATTATTACTGACGTTTTGTTGCATCATTAAAATTAAGAAGCAAATTTATTGAAAATATAAAAAAAAGATATGAACAGAAAAATTCAATTTATTAAATTATTTAATTCCATTCGTGTGTAATTAAAATTTAATTTGACATATCGCTTTAAAGAATTGATTTCGTCATTTCGTGGTTTGAAAATAAATATTAATGAAACACGGTATTCGATTAAGAAATTCTCAATTGATGTACTGACGTGATGTTTATGGAATATGAACCATCATGTGAATAATGAATTACCATGTACGCCAACAGCGTCACGTGTGTAAGGATTACGATTAATTTAAATTTAATCAGCTGTGAAATAAATGAATATACAACTCATGTGTTTACTTGAAAACGGAACAAATCTCTTTCAGATAGTCATTGTTTGTAATCAAATTATATCGTACAAGAGCACAAGAAACAAAACACGATTTGTATTGGCAATTTACTATGGCAGCAAACGTGTTAACCATAATAATACGAATCACAATTGCTCATGATACTTACGTATAATCTTCTATAATATTCTCTCCAATCCTCTACTCTACCTATACGATAGACAATATCTAGTCTACCGTCTAATCTTTCTAATTCCCTCAAAATGACGAAACCAATGAAAATCAGTCGACGATTAATTTCATACTATTCTTTAAATTTAATATACAGGGTGGATGGTAACTGGTGGTACAAGCGGAAAGGGGGTGATTCTACGCGAAAAAAAGAAGCCGAAAATATAGAATAAAAATTTTGTTTAAATTCTTTTTTTTTTAATTTTTCCATCGAGACAACGATCCGTTATTACGAGACGCGATAAAGTGCACGCGTACCGAGCTAAAATTCAAAGTCGATTTTCTCGAAAACAAAGCCTCAAACGAAAAATTTTTATTCTATATTTTCAACTTCTTTTTTCGCGTAGAATCACCCCCCTTCCGCTTGTACCACCAGTTACCAACCACCCTGTATAATTTAATATCAGAATTCAAGAATCGCAACGATTGTAATCATCTCTTCCTAAAGATGTACCAAATACGTTTCAAATATCACGTTAAAGTATTCAACATCGGAATAATTATATTCCCACCATCATTATGGTATTCTACCATAATGGAGTTCCTCTAATCGTTGTAAAATTGCGGTATCGCGTCCATGCATTTGACGGCATAATGGTTTCGTAGTAATCGATGCAGACTAAATGAACTGGATTTGAGTACGCCCATCCGTACTGTTGTCGTCGAAATGTTAGACGATCCACACGCATTAACTTTCGCATACAGCACCGATAGAGGCAGGATATTTCAGACATTCCGGCACGTACGGAAGAGACGAATGCTCGAGCGAGCGCGCGACGATCGTCATTCGATGTATGCGCGTAATTTACTTGCGTGTGTGTAATGCCGCGTGGAAAATACATATGTATGTATAGCTCTTAAACACGTGTAGGTTTTAGGACAAGCAGTCTAACAACGAAAGCATCCATTTCTGCGCCACGCGTGTTCTTCGCCACTCGAGAAAGCAATCTACGGTGGCTACAAAAAGTACTGGCACACGTCCTTATTTTCCAATGAAACGTTTTTTTAATCCGGTCCTACGCTTCATTTTCATAATTTCAAATTTTTGTAGTCATATACGGGGATACTATTAAACGATACTAAATTTAATTGTATTTAGCTTTAATTAATTGGTGCTCAAATGCAATAGAATGGTCTGACAACACTCTTTTTTTTAATACATAATTCATTCTTCGTTTTTTAGATTAGACTCAAACTTAAGCTGTTTGGTATTTTTTTGTATTTTTATAAAGTAGAAAGTATTTTGTAAGTTTGGAGAAGTTTCCTTATATAGAGAGATGTTTAAATACAGCACATTTCCTATTACAATTGTTAGTTCGTGTAGCAAGTCGTGTTTCTTAGAACATTGACCATTATCGTTATAATACACTAATTCCATAAGTAGTTACAGAAATGAGTAAATACAATTTTGCATTGTGGTTTTTCTTTATTAAGGATGAGATGAATCATTTCAAAGAAGTTGGATTGTTTTATCAAATTGTTGTTTACAATTAATTGAGACTTGATAATAGAGCTGAGAAGCTTTTAAGAAACTTCTGATATTGTTTCAAGGAAGAAAAAACAAAATTTTTACAAAAAGAATGTCGGTGTGTTTAAATACTTATCTGCGGCAGTATACGTGTAAACGATTAGAATATATTATAAATCATCTTCGAACCTGTTCCCATAAAGTGTTTAAAAAAAGTAATCAGTAAATAATGTCAAAATTTTATAGAAAATTTCAAGAGTAATATGATTTCAAAATTAGCATAGGCACACAGGAACAAGTGTTGAAAATTGTATTATGACGTTGGTGTGAAATGTCGGTATAGTATTGGTTAAAACAGAATTCCCACACTTTATCACGGCCTTGTTTCTTCTCTAAAACTTGGACTTCTCTATTGAGCTTCTAATTACCGAAGTTTGCTCTTTCATTATTTCTGTTGAAACTTGCATAATGTATGGCAAAAGTTGGACTGCCGCTGGCAAAAATAGATAGTTGTTAACTAGGAGACAATTATAAGACTTCATCGGTACAATACTATGTCTATCGTTCGTTTCTTGTCTTCTTTTATCCCTTATAGACCTTTACATCTTTGTATCGATCGCTTTGCTAGAATTTAATGTTACATAATTTACAAGAATATCGTTATTTTAATATCGCATTTTTGCTTCCAAGGTGATATAACTAAGACATAATAATTTTCCATCAAATGCTAACGACTGGTTCTAATCATAATGACACATTTCTTTATCCAATGGAAGATCTATTATAAAATAGAATAAGAGGTTTTATTTTTGTAATCTTTAATTTATATTTTTTACAAAACTATCAGAAATTTTCTCGCCGTGCTTTGAAAAATATGCTTTACTACTTCTGCACATTGATCTGATACCATAGATGTTAAAATAGAAATAAATTGTTTCGCTAAAAGTTGAAAAATCGTGATTACTTGAACGACTGACCAATGTTGTCGTTCTATCTTATCTGTAAAATTATTTTTAACTCCTTTAATTCCTTTCTGCCTGTTCAAATGATATTTAAGGTTTTACGAAACTCGTAGTAAACGAAATATCGTAGGCCAGTGCGAGTTCAATCCCCGAAATTGCATCGCAACTAGATCAGCATATTGTAATTGTCTCATGAATAAATATAAGCTTGTTTTCGTATAAGTAGGATGGCAAGTGCAGGCCGATAAATTTTTCCTCCATGGGTTTAAAACTGGTTCGTCCCTTCCTTGCTCCGTTTAAACGTGATTTAAAGTTGCCCTCCGAAAGTTAGCGTTGATGCGTTGCATAAATGAACAATCTCTCGAATGGCATCTTTTAAGATTTTATATTTAAAAAGTGACTTAATCTAATAAGACGTTATCTGTCTCTTTTCCGCGTGCAATCGACTAAAAATATACTTATCTGTCTGTGATATATATTGTCATCTATTTTTTTTTTATGTAGGTGTTTATTTTTTATTGGTAAAAATAGAAGAATTCAGTAGATAATTTCAAATAAACTACGAAGAAAAATTCAATAAAGAAATTGTAGCCAACTCCATTCTGTAGCAGTATAATAGAAGAAATTTTGCGTACAATATTCAGTCTCTCAAATTATGATTCAAATTAAAATTACTATTTATTCCCTTCACCCATCTTTCACTCCATAGATTCGTGTTATATTTATTTATCTCATCATTACATCACTCTATTAACGGTATCCTACCTCAATCATTAACCATAAATCAAGAAATTTATCATATGACAAGAATGGAA